ATACGCGGCTGATATCCGCGCCATGCAAGAGAGGAAACCATCACCTCGTCAAGCACGCCGTTGACCTTCCCATCAGTGCTTGTCCAACGCTTCGTCGCTACACCTGCATGTCCACTGCTGCAAAAAGCAGGAAGTCGATCAAGTGCACCAAATAGTATCACGCAGGTTGATTGATTGATATGTGGGGTTTAACGTGCCAAAACCACTATATGATTATGAGAGACGCCGTAGTGGAGGGCTCCGGAAATTTAGACCACCTGGGGTTCTTTAACGTGCACCCAAATCTGAGCACACGGGCCTACAATATTTCCGCCTCCATCGGAAATGCAGCCGCCGCTGCCGGGATTCGAACCCGCGCCCTGCGGGGCAGCAGCCGAGTACCTTAGCCACTAGACCACAAGTATCACGCACGTTGAATACCAAGTTTCTGAATCTCTCTAGCAGGATCCTACTCGTCGCGATAAACCGTACATGCTTGCCTCAGACACGTGCACCATCGGCGGTTTGGTAAATGGACGAGTGGGAACTCAGCAAACGGGAATCACTGTGTGTAAGCTCTACGCAGTTCCTCTGGTTCCACAGTAGTGGAGCTGCGATCAGGGCAAGATTTTGAACTGAACGAATCCCTACGCATATTTTTTTCCCACCTTACATTTAGTAAAAAGAAGAAAAAAACATTTAAATTTCGCTTGTTTGGACTGATGGCTCCGATGGCATGACAGAAATAAAAAAAAACGACTTCGGAAGTTCTGTACATATGTCCACACTGGCAAAGTTGCTCTGTAGTTGCAGCAGTTACCAAGAGGACATTTACCTTTACAATCGTCCAAATCGCTGACTTGCCTGTGCTGCAAACTCCTGGAGCTCGTCATATCCAAGTAAGTTTACGCGTACGTCAAAATTGCCAACAAATTTTTTTTCCAACCAACATTGGATTCGGACAGTGCCTTTTCACATGCCCCGCCGCGGTGGTCTAGTGGATAAGGCACTCGGCTGCTGACCCGCAGGGCGCGGGTTCGAATCCCGGCTGCGGCGGCTGCATTTCCGATGGAGGCGGAAATGTTGTAGGCCCGTGTGCTCAGATTTGGGTGCACGTTAAAGAACCCCAGGTGGTCTAAATTTTCGGAGCCCTCCACTACGGCGTCTCTCATAATCATATGGTGGTTTTGGGACGTTAAACCCCACAAACCAATCAATCAATCAATCAATCAATCAAGTCTTTCCACAACAACACAACACTTTGCCGAAAGCATTCGAGAGAGCATTCGACATGCAGAATTTCTCGTGAAGGTGACAGTTATGGCAATAAATGAGAATATAGTGAAATGGATAACCGCGTGACTTCAGGGCAGAACACAATACGTAGAAGTGGAACACATTAAATCAAAACCATTGAACGTGACGTCAGGCGTTCCACAGGGATCTGTGTTAGGCCCAGTGCTATTCTTGATTTGAAATAATGATATTGCCTCTGAATTATACGAAAGAATCACGGTGCGACTTTTCGTGCATGATTGTCTTCTTTACAAAAAAATTAATGGCAGGGAAGATCAGCAATTGTTCAGTGATGCTGTGAGGGTAGTAGAAAAATGGTGCGACAAATGAAAAGTGAAAATAAATAAGAATAAAGCTGTTTTATTGCGCGTAACAAATAAAGTGAATCATGTCTTTGACTTCAATTACGCCGTGAATTCATCGGTATTTTCTTTGGTTGATGTGCTGAAATACTTAGGCGTAAATATTTCTAAGAATTTAAGCTGGTCCTATCATGTTGCAAATGTATGTGAAACTGCGGAAAAGAAATTCTGGTTTTTGCAAAAAAAAAAACTACATTTACCCTCACAGTAAGTTAAGCTAACTGCTTATTTAACCTACGTACGGCCCACGCTAGAATATGCCAGCCTAATCTGGAACCCTTATCAGTAAGGGTTAATTCAAAGACCGGAAAGAGTTCAACATCGAGCAGCAAAGTTCATCTTATCAAAATAATCTCGTACAGATTCTGTCACCGAAACGCTCAATTTGCTCAACTGGTCCACGCCTGCTGAACGCAGGCGCATAGCAAGGCTAAAGTTTTTTTTTTACTATCTCACTAAAAACAAATTTAACGTCAACAGTTATCAGTACTTGAAAGCATGAAATGATAGAGTTCTGCGAAGAGGAAAGGAAGGTAACTTCTAATTGTTTCAGATGCACATAAACAGCTATGTGTTTTGTTTTTCCCAAGAACCACGACAGAATGTAATGAACTGCTGCTAATAACACGAGAAAGCGCCACTGCAGATGAATTTCAGAATAACCTTGCACAAAATTAAGGAAATATACGCATGTGCTCATGCTCTATCTGTGGATGTCTTCGAAATTGTTTTTAAGCATTCTGCCTTTTTTGTGTGTGTCATGTATGTACAGAATAATTTCCTTGTATCCGGCCGTGTATCCTTGTACGTAGTGCTCGGCTATGGTTTGCACCGTGGCTGGCGGACTTCGAATGTTTGGTGTAGTAAAATTTTATCAACCTTTCCACGAACTATTTCCTTGTGTTTGCCTACATTTGTTTCATTTTATTGGTTTCTGTTCTTCTTTACCGATGCATTTTTTTTATTCTTTAAAGTGTCTTTTGTTGTTTATCATGTAATGTATGTTTTCCAAAGTGCTACTTTTGACCCATCCTGTAACGGCTGACAGGCCAACAGTATGAGTAAATAATGGTAGCACGACTTAGAGAGTTTCATTGTTCCTTCTGTCAATGTTACTGCACCACTCTATCGTCTCTGAAAATCTTGTAGCCTTCCGCATTTGATTTGTGCATTGACTACAGCAGTGCTGACAATGATAGAACAGTCCTGGAGTGTCGCTGTATAGAAAAAAAATGAACTTTTGTTTCGCGATGCTTCTATATTGTAACGCAGAACGTACGCTCAAACAACGCTATTTTTTTGTAAGTTGCATTTATTCATATTGCAATTATGACAATTATTTCTTTTCAGCACCTGCCTGTGGATGTATTCGGCACGAATGTGTCTCCATCGGCATGGACCAACGATTGGGCGCAGATTACAAGGTCACCAAGTAATGCGGACATTCCGCCTATGTGGGGTAGAACTTACACTGAATCTCTCGATGTTGTTCCTGGACATCAAGACCTCGCTAGACTTGCGGATCCAAAAAGTGGAGTGTTTAGGTGGTCTTTCAAAAGAAGAAAACACCACCGTGCTTCAAGAAGTTCTAGTGACACTAGGCGACCCACGAGAACAGCTTCAATGAGCGGGCGATGTGAGTCACGGCGAACGTCAATGGTGAACGTCCAGAAAGAAATGAAAGATTTGCATACTAGTCACAAACCTTCTGCAAGTAGATGGCGTGACAGACGGTGCAGATCATCCTTGGATGCTCAAGAAATTGCGAAAAGCACGCATGTTCGTCGAAAACCAAGTGATGGAAGCTGGAGATCCGTCGAAGACACCCTAGAAAGGTTTTCTAACGATTCATCGGGAAGTGAGCGACGGCATGGCACGTCTTCACATGATCATGCACCCACTTCGCACCCAAGGACACCGAACGCCCAGCAAAAAGAACACCGCCATTGCCGCTTTTTGGAGGACACGCGACTAGACACAAATCGCACCGCGAGAACGCCGCCAGTTGATTATATATGTTGCTGTTGCCATGAAACGGAAGCCTTGCAAGCATGCTGTCACTCAAACTGTCATGAAGAGAGGAGGAGAACTTCTAGCGTTCCTTGCTTGCCTCCTGCTGGAAAATCATTACATGGATGTCATGCTCACTTCGACGACCTGGCAACAAAGTGCATCGGTAATGAAAACAACTCTGCTCATTCTGTGGCGCTTCAACCATGCAGAGTGGCTTCCCGGCCGTCACGTTCCCACAACCCAATTACAGTTCCCGTGGAAGTAAGAATAACGCATGAGTGTTCCGCCTTGCTGGCGCCCTGTCCATCACTGACCCCATCTTTGGTTACTGTGGCAACTCTCGGTGGCGTTTCCTCTCAGCAGCCACCACTTGCACAGAAACAATCGGACGAAGATATTTATCTACTTTTGCCGTCTAAGAGTGGACAGGGTGTACTCTACCAAGCCCGGCCTGTTTCGCCTGTCCTTCGATTACCCAGCATCCAAGGCGCGTACGAGACCGCAGGCATGCAGCTGTATGGTGGTGCGTCGGTCATGCCAGCTCTATCCAGAGAAATTAACACGTGGGATTCGGAGATGCGCAACGTAAAAACCACAAAGAAAACGAATGAACCACGACGTGGATCTCGCAGACGCACAGGACGCATCTCTATCTCAAAGAACCCGTCAATTTTTCCCCCACCGCAACAGCACGTGAAAGACAGTGCAGAAATGAACCAAAACGTAGAATCACATGGCTCGAAGCTTCTTCTCGCACCAAGAAAAAGTTCGTTGAAGAGAACACGAGCTTCAGAACAAGACATGACCATTGCAGCATCCCGAAAAAGTTCGAGAACATACTCAGCGCACGCTTCATTGCATCCGGTAGCTATAAGTCAAGTCGAGTTAGACATGCAGCCAGAAAAGCGTACCGCAATGATCGCAGAGCAGGCGCCGTCAAAGCGTGGCTCTTATGTCACCGAACAAGGTGGTATATTCGTGTCTGCACGTCAAAGTTCGGTCTATGCGGGCGACGCTGGCAGTTGGCCCAATAAGACGAACAGACGCGATTCGCTTTCGTCGAGGAAGCCGAGCTTAGCCAGTGGACGACGTTTCCACGATAAATCCGACTTCAGCGGTAGTAAGGTACATGTAGACACGACGGAACATGGTCGAGCCTCGAAACGCGCTTCTGTGGCCACGGGGTTGATATCAAAATCCACCAGGAGACTTGAGACAGAGTCGCCAGACGATTACCCCGGGCGAACAGAGAGGCATGGTTATCAAGGAATTCAAGTGGATCTACTCGAACCAGCTTCCCCTGATTCACCACCTACGGAAACGGAAGCTAAAGTAGAGCAAATCGGGACAATGTTAGCGGAACGCGCTTCTGGTTTTCAAGATGAAGAGTGTGAGAAAAATGACAGCAAACGTGAACCAGAGCCGCAGCCTCTCGAACATGCTGGAGCAGATAGTAATCTAGAAGTCTTCAACCACAGTGACCTCAACCTGACTCTTTCACCGCCGAGTGAGATGACTCGCATGGAGCTTACTGCGATTCCAAAACAGCAATGGTGCACAGATGTTAACTTGGCCATGTTGACAGGCGTCGTGTGCATCGTGTGGATCGTGGTCGTATTCCTAACGACTCGAGTTGACAGCACAACACACACACATGTTCCACCCAGAGCACTGGAACTGCCTTTTAATACTGTAAGCTACACAGTGCCAAGTGATGCATTCCATCAAACCGACTTGCCGGCTTCAACTCAACTCTCACCCCAAATTAGCATGTGTTCTTCGAACCTCTGTGTTCAGGAGGGTAACCGTCTTAGGCAACACATGAACAGGGAGTACTCCCCGTGCGATAATTTTTACCGCTACGTTTGCGAAAAGCATCCAATAACTCCTGGCCAACCGTATGGTGATGGGGCCTTCACATCTGTGGACATACTGTTGGAAGAGTTCTTAGCTTCTGCTTTGCGCGACTACGTCCTCAACGAGCATCACAGAGACGTCGCTTCACTCAGGGCACTATACAATGCATGCTTAAGGCCGACCAGCAACTCGTTCACTGATATACAACAGGAAGTCTTCGACAAGTTGCCCATCGGAAAGTGGCCGTACAAGAGAAACAACCTACGTACGTCCGATATTTGGCAGACAGCGGGATTGCTCGTTCGCCGGTTTGGCGTTGTCAGCATTATCGAAGTTTCCTTTGGTATAAAACCCGACACGACTAGTCCTTCGATAGAACTACGCTACCCGCGATATCTGCACTTTGACGACTATTCGCTAGGCGGCGTCGAAACGTTAAGGGACGCCGTTATCGAGGCAGTGCGAGAACTGGGAAGTTCGGACGACGCGGACAACTTGGTGGCGCAAGTTACGTTCGTGGCAACAACCTTGGCAACATTGGCGAGCAACGGGACAACGCGGCAAGTATTGTACATAAAATACGAGGACGTTGTGATCAGCATCCGTACATTTATCCAGTCGCTGTTCGAGGACGAGCTGGCAGGAGACGTTATTGTGACGCTGAGGGAGCCGCGTTTGCTTACCGAGCAGTTGCAAGCTGTAATATCGGCTGCGAACGTTGTGGCTTTCATGAACTACCTCGGCTTCCGCCTCATCGTATGCTTCGCCGCGCTGTTTAACTGGAACCGCGCAGCTAGTCTTCGAAGCGTTCTCAGCGCGGAAATCGCCGCTAGGGTTTTATCCCCGGAAAAGAATTGGCTTTTGTGTCTTCGATTCTTGGAGAGAACGCAGCCGTCGTGCCTCGGCCAAGCTCTGGCAATGCAGCAGGCATCCGCAGGAATCTCTGCGAGCAGTCGCTTCTGGCTAGCCCAGTTGGAGGATCTGTTCTACAGAAACCTGCCACATGTCGCTTGGTTGACTGGCAAAAGCCTAAAGCTGCTTGGCGACAAGCTAGAAAGGCTGTACATTATACACGCCATTGATAAGTCTTCGTGGAATCTGTGCACGCTACGACCACGCTATGCTTCCGACAAAGGGAGCACTTTGCGGATGTTCATTCGCGCCGCGGGAGAGTACCAACGTGAACGCCTTCGCCGAGTGAACAAACCATCTAGACATTCCGACCCCGAGAATGTATTTGGAACGCAGAGCAGGTGATTGATATTCTATTTGCCTTGTAGATGATGATGTGTTCTAGATGTAATTGCTGGTAATCAGGCTTTCCTAGTTGGTTTGGGTGGAGCGCAAATATTACGGAACAGCTATGACGTTAGTATGCACGAGTTATGAGATAAAGCACCAGTGTAATGGCGAAGGTTCGGACATCAGAGATTATGTTTTTCAGTTTGGCACGTTTTTAATGGGTACTTATTCACTAAATGAAATAAAGTTTTTCTGATCACTTACTTGCAATGGATCAAAATACTAGGCTTCAAGATTGTTGGGTGGTGTCTTTTTCATTACTACCAATTCAGCAAATTCCTTTGCAATTGTAGCTGAATGTCGAATATAACGTCGCTTTTGTACATATGCAGCGCTGGCAGAGCGTTGAGTGTTTGTATGTGGCTAATTGTGAAGTAGTGATGATAATCGAAATATATGAAAATAAAGACGGAATGCTGACTCATTTTAGTCTTGTTTAAAGATAAACAATGTCACCCCATTAGCGCTTGCTCTGTGCACTGTCCTCTCAACATCTAGCTTGTTTCTTCTTGTTCGCGCTAAATATGGTTTTCACGGTCGTCGCTTTCAGTACTTACGTATTGGGCTGCGTTCGCGATTCGTGCAGGTACAGTGATGCACTTCAGGCTGTGTACGTTCCAGTCGGCCTTGTTAACAGCTCTGCGGTCGCAAATGGGCAGCTTCTCGCCTTCCAAGCAGCGCGTACGGCAGTTCGTTTCTACGCGGGACTGCTGCCTGTCACGTACGAGCACTGGGACAGCAACCTGCCGAACGCGGATGCTCAGTGGAGTCTGAGTCCTTCGTCACGTAACAGCCTGGACCAGCTCCTCGACTGCCTCGCTTCAGACTACCAGGCGCTGTCGAGTTCGTCGTTCTCATCTTTGGTTTCGGTGAACCGAGAGAGTGTAGATGAACGCTATTCGCTGTTGGCACAGACCACGGCACTGGCTCTCGCTTACGCCGCTTTTGAGGTAAGCACTGTGTGGATCACGTGTCTCTTACACATGTCAGCTTGATGAGGTCGTGTGGAGGGAGCACTGCGCGGGAAGCGCATTTCTGGGAGTGGACGCCGCGTCATGAACGACTCTTCGAGCTTGGTGCGAATTAAAACACATCCTGGGGATAGCAGAAACTGCTACCAATATGTCGGTGAAATCTTGAGGTCATACGCGGCAAGGGCAACTGGTCATTATCTCAGGCGTCTCCCTGTCATGAAGAGGCCCACTCTCGCTCGCTTCGGAGCAGCCTAGGCCTGCTGTTTGAGGTCGAATCACGGATAGCATGCTATTGGCCAATATTCGACATAAATCAAGAGTGGCGTTTGGATCAGATGATGCTTTTCCCCACGGAGAGCCACCACAAACGGCCAGTGAGCCACACTCACGAGCAGGAATCACAATGGTAGAAGATGACTGCGTTTCAACACGTGTGCTCAAGGCCATGACACACGCTCATGTAACTTTTTTTCCCAGTTCCAACCATTTTCCAGGCGCTTAGCCACAAAAACTAGGGGGAGGGGGAGCACCACTTTGATTTCGCGAGGGGCACCCCCTTAAAATGGCCATTTTCGCTCTCTATGCAATGACAAAAAAAATTCAGGGGGGGGGGAGGGGGTTCATGTGCCCGATGTGCCATCCCCCTGGCCAGTACCCTACCCTTTCCGCTTAGCTTTCGGCGCGTTTGTCGCGACAAAGAAGAAATAAAGCGCTTAAAGTATGCGACGAAACTCCAAAACAATAGTTCTTCCGGGATTTGAGAATAAAGCTTGCTAATGTTCGGTAAGGAAGGATTTAAGAAAAAAATTTAAGGAAGGATTTGAAAAAAACTTTTTCTGCAGTCAATTGAGAGACAATATTTCGATTCTGATGCTGGAGTCCATTGATAATTACGTACAAAAATGTGATTCATTGCGTCTTAATTGTGCTTAAAATCATGACCTAACATGCTCACCGTGATACATTAGGGCGAGGGCAGCGAAAAATAACGCGTACCGCACTCTCGAACAAACATGGACAAGGACAAACCATGTGCCCAACAAACTGGAATTTTGCAAATGGCAAGGTTGCAAGGGCGTCATCATCACTTGAATTTTCCCGCTATAGACTACCTAGCAAGAAAGAAAGAATAAAATAGAAAATTGCCGTACTCGCATTTAAAAATGCTTTTCGTTCATGAATGCTCCTTGGATTTAAGTGCACATGAAAAAGCTCCAGGTGGTTGCAGTTTCCGTAGCTCCTCAGTAAGACATCTGTCATAATCGTATTATGAATTTGGGATTTAAAACTCAAACAAACATTATATCTGTCTAACTAAAACCAACTTACCCCGTGGTTTTCAAGCATGACTGACCCATGTTGATGACGCCTATTGTTAACTGCTATCTAGAGGTTCCGCACGAAGCTCTACTCTCAAGAATTTTGTACGATTAATTGAACCCGTGTAAATTCATGCCCAGTCCTCTGAAAAAAAAAAACAGTATGAAACTCAAGCACCAATCAATCACTCGCAGGAGCTGTTGCGTGGCGAGCAGAACCAGCGACTGGACTTCAGGCTGGAGACTTTGAGCGACGTTTCTTCCGAGCAGTTGTTTTTCGTGTACTACGCGCTGGACAACTGTGAGACCACTGACGAGGCCTACCGGGTGACACAGTTCCAGACTCGTGGACGCTTACCTGCCGTGCACCGCGTAAACTTCCCCCTGCGACACGTGCCTCAATTCGGCCGGGCTTTCCGATGCAGTGACTCGGATGCCACTGCGACGACGGAGCGACAACGACCGCGACGCTGCGATGTGATGCGTTGGAACTCAACTGAGCCATCGAGTTCAATGCAGTGGTACAGACGGATCACCCAGGTCCGGGCTAAGTCCTTCGCAAATCGCAGGAGCTCGAGAGCGACGGCTGACGTCAGGAGTGGAGGCGCGCCTATGCGCTCTTTTCCCGAGGGTTCTTGGGTGATTGCGGGACGCGATGCCGGCTACTGAGAAACCGTGGCACGAATGCGGTGTCCATGGCGGGCTGAAGCACGCCCGAGTAAAAGTCGCGGTTTTAACGGTTGCCAGATGGGGCGTACTTTTTATGTACGATACGGTGGAGCTCTCGGCCAGTAGTTCCAGTTACACCGGAAGACATTCTTAACCACAGTGGGTGTGGACGATGAATTCTTTGTAGCATGTATTAGTCTGTCTTCAATATTTCACCTTCAGAGCCCAAGGAATGAGCTCAAAATCTGACGTGCCTTCAAGGCTGACCTAAGTTGATGCAGCTTACTTGTTACTGACAGCCCTTTATATTTTAATCGCGCGTTTTTTTTTTTTTGCCGAGACGTTTGTACTTAAAGAAAATTGTACTTTAGCGTTTATCACGAGTTCAATGTCATATTTATGTACAGTTGTGAACTTATGTAACTAGGATTTATTTAGAATTTCAGTTTTGGGAGTTATTAAGGCCAGATGAATTGAAGTGAATAACAGAGATGTGTTTGCTCTTGGGAAATAACATTTTTGTCTTTTTTGTATGACGAAAAATTGTATAAGTTCACGTTGCCGATAACCGCTTACTCGTGTATCTCTTGCTTGATAAAAGCTTTCGTTGGTTGCATTGAATTCTTAGCAGGCACTGGTGACGCGAATTTAGAACCATGATCACTCACCATATTCACATTAGTTAGGGGTGAGCGATATTTTCGAACAACGAGTTGAATAGTTTTCGATTCAATTATACCACCTGAATCGAATCGTACAGCTACTAAATGCCGAATATTTTGCGAAACAGTTTTCGAATAATCAGCACCAATGGGAGAACACCTAAAGAACTGAGCTTTCTAACAACTAGAGGTGATTTTTATTCAAATAATTAAATTAACAATGTATATGTAACCGAAGCGTTTACGAGAGAGTCTATGATATATTGATTACCGAATGAAGGCGTTTTTTTTTTCTTTCTGAAAACTGTACTCTTAGTTTTTACTCTGCTACAGCTGAATCGCTTCGACAAGCTCCTGTCTTCATCTTGTCACAACTGAAGTTGGCGAATACGACTGCTTTCACTTTCATAAATAACAACAAACGAAAGTGTTGTTTTCGTAAACAGCTGTTGCGCGTAACGACTTCAACACTGATGCTTACATACTGTCGGTGTCAAGGTTCATGGGGTGACGCGGCGTTTATCTGCAATTGTCATACAGATGCCGTCGGCACCCTTTATGACAACTGCGATAAAAGTTCTGTGGGGTGTAGTCAGTTCATAGCATTTAAGGTGCGAACATGCGGGGATTTGCTATACATAGCACTCTAGAAAAAGGAAGCTGATTGTATCGGTGACACGTTTACATCTTTGTACCCCTCCGAATTTGAATTTCAGTGTGTGAATATTCTTTAGACATTTCTTTTTACGCATGAAATACGTCTTGCTAGTGTTGCAGGTGACACCATGTGCAAATGCAAGACCTATGGCTACGGCATTATACGCATTGTTGCGAAAAAATTAGGCAGATATTAGTAAGTGTAAGCGCTCGTCTCTTCTAGTCTTTGTGGTGCATCTTGTCGTGCGCTACAGTTTTCATCTTAAATCTAGTACAGCTGTTTTTTGACACTGTATAGCGGAAGCGCACTCGTATATAGACCGAAGTGTTTTAGGCTAAGTTCGAATTACTCCGTGTTCCACTCTGCAAGAACTGCTCAGCATAGAGCGAGTGTGAGAAGTTGACTTCAGGTTGCAGTCCCTGGCTGGCGTCACTTTGGAGAAGCCTTTTTTTTCTCTTACACGCGCTCGACAGGACCACTCAATTATTGGTCAATCTCCCCCAGAGGGTATGAGCCACAAGAGAAGGTGAACAAGAACAAGAACTGCAAATGCAGTGTTAAGCCGCATAGGCTGTATAAATCTGGCAAGTACTGCCGCCCGAATATCTCGTCAACATACCGCTGCGCCACTTACCTCAGTTCGCCCAGGCCATCCAGTGCAACGCTTCCTGCGGAAACTCTTGGCACAGAACACTGTTGCCCATGGAGGCTCTAGAGGAGTCGCGATGCGAGACCGTCCACTACGACGTGGGAACGTCGCCCAATTCGAAAGCCAGCGTGCTGGCTTTCATGCAGACTGGAGCTTCTTGTAGGTATAACCATCGCGAAAGGCGATGACGCATATTTGCGCAATTCGCGAGCAACGTTGTTGATTGATATGTGGGGTTTAACGTCCCAAAACCACCATATGATTATGAGAGACGCCGTAGTGGAGGGCTTCGGAAATTTCGACCACCTGGGGTTCTTTAACGTGCACCCAAATCTGAGCACACGGGCCTACAACATTTCCGCCTCCATCGGAATTGCAGCCGCCGCAGCCGGGATTCAAACCCGCGACCTGCGGGTCAGCGAAAAACGTCTGTGATTTCGAAACGCGTTCGCTGAATCTGTCCGGAACCTTTGAATTCTGGCTGGATTGCTCCAGTGTTGATGCAACTTTTCACTCGTTTTGTCAACAGCGTGATAATCAACGTAGCAATGTAACGATAAGCACGTTTGATTTAAACATATTTTTCGCGTGCTTGTACCATGCTGATGTCTGCGACGTCATTGTTCAAAATAAGTGCTGAAAAGAGCAGTTTAAAACGTTTTCCCTATTTTTTACTGTAGGTAGAGTAATAACCAGTAGTTCTTTAGCCTAAGCGCAATGTAGTTTGGTACTAATAGCTCACAGAGCTCCATTTTGATTCGTATGTATGTTCTGTGGCATAAAGAACTGGAAAAATTAGAAGCTTTGTATATTATACATTGATACTTTTCCCAATGAAATAAAGCAGGTGAGTTCATTGCGTGAATTTATTGAACGTTAATTCTATTGAATACCACCCCATTCGTGCTTGTAGGGGTCAGCGCACACATGAAGAGGTGAAAGGTGGGCTTGCGCTGCCATCTCATGGAGGAGGTGAGCAAACACACCTCTGAAAGTGGTCGAATAGCGCGTATCAAGTTCGCTTCGTTGATGATATATATAATGCCTGTTCGCTGTGTCTCTTGACCACACTAGAAGTGACGCGGTTCGGACTAGTTGGTATAACATGACGACAGTTATACCGCGAGAACAGAACGACGACAAAAGGACACAAAGGAGACGCTCGTCTCCTTCGTGTCCCCTCTTTGTCATTGTTCTGTTCTCGCGCTTTATCATCTTAACCCCAGTCAGGTATGCATAATTTCGTGAGTGAACATGAGGTACCTTCGTTTTGGTTGTCCATATTACTAAGGACGTAGGTTTATTGAACCAGTCAGTGATGCTGACAGAAATTGCTAACTTATTAAAGTATCTCGGAGGAAAAAACCTGGGGGACTTCAGTACATGCAATGATGCAATTGTACAAGACGCTTTTTCTTGGATATTTGCGCTACAGTTTGCCTGTGTTGACCAACACCTGTAGAACCAACATTCAGACTCTCGAAAGCATCCAGGCTATGGCTCTGCGAGTTTGTCTGGGGCTACCGCGATGTTCATCAACAGCTGAGACAATCGAGATCACTAATGACTACCCGCTAAAGACACATACCATGATGGAAGTGCTCAGAGCACACGTGAGGCATCTTACTCGTGCCCCTGCCCATCATCTAGCTTCACTGCCAGAAGCCCGACCTCGTGCCTCATTTTGCCAGACAGTATTGTCATATCGCACACGCATTCCTACGGGATATACAACTCCATCGAGGATTTCAACTCCCCCATGGAGTATGACCTGTGCACATGTTGAACTCACGGTTCCAGGCATAGGGTCAAAAGCCCGGCTCTCGTCTCCAGCGCTAAAGCAGCTTTCTCTTCTCATGTTATATGAGAAATACAGTGAGCATACTCATCTATATACTGACGCTTCAACTAAAGTGTATGGGTCTGCAGGGTCGGTGATCTTTTCTGTAACAGCGACAACGGTGAAGTTTCGTTTATCCCACCAGACATCATCGACAGCTGCGGAACTTGCTGCTCTACGTAGCGCAATTCAAGTTATTAAACACCAAGAAGCCAAGAAATGGAGCGTGTTCACGGACTCTAAGGCAGCACTACAGTGTTTGATATTCGCCTTACGCCGGGGACCTCATGAACAAGTAGTGCTGGAAATTAGAGGGCTGCTTCACCACCTCTTCGACGAAGGACACAGAATCACGTTTCAGTGGCTTCCAAGTCACTGCGGCATATTGGGCAACGAACATGCCGATGCAGCTGCCCGATCAGCACACGAAGATGGTGAAGAAAAATCTATACCAATTTCAAGGGCTGATGCTGCAATGACCATCCGAAAAATCGCTAATGCAGAATTAAAATCCCTGTGGAACACCGAGTGCTTACGGCACACGCGACTGCGTAGACTGGACACGTCTCGTTGACTCCGGCCTCCGTCTGGACTCTCTCGACTCGAGACAACGGTGCTTTGCCGACTATGGCTTGGTGTCGCCTTCACCAAAGATTTCGCCTTCCGAATCGGCATGGAAGACAGTGCTGCTTGCGGTCATTGCGGCAGCGATGAAACTATAGAGCACGTTCTCTGTCACTGCCCTCATTACAGCGTGCAAAGACGGCAACTAGCTGCTGCGTTAGCTCGCCTTGACGACAGACCTTTGTCTGAACAATCAGTGCTGGAAAGACGACATGATTTGTGTGCTCACAGATAACCAGTGAAGGCCTTACTGAACGTTTTTCGTGGCAGCGGCCTATTGTATAGACTGTAGCACCCCCAGCTCCCCCCCCCCCTTTTTTTTTTCGTGCGCGTCTATTCCCCTCTTCGCTTTCTTTCCAATCTTTCTTCCCACCCTCCTAAGTTCTAGAATGAATCTCTTAGCACGGATTTTTCAGAGCGCAGTTGTTAAGGGTTATCGTGATTTGTGCGCCCTAACAAAAAGCTAACAGAACCTTAATAAATACCGCTACTAACCTCTGGTCCACTAAAAATTGAGAAATCAATAACTGGCCCAACAAGTGACTGCGAAGCGATGACGGTCAGCCGAAGACCTCGAGTACGTACAACGAGGGAATATTAGGAATCAGATAAGAGAACGGCGGCTGAAGGAAGGCCCCCGAGTTGTACAAGCCTCTCAAGTTTGAACGTCCGTGTCGAGTCATTGACCATACGTGTTTCAAAGCAAACCTCTCTAGTCTGAGAATCAACACAGAAACAACGCAGCATCACCTTGATAAAGCCTAGCATCGACCTCGGTGCCACTAAATTAGTCATCAAAATTGCCCAGTTTCTCTGTTCCAAGCTTTGCGAGACCTAGCTCGAAGGCTTTCGTAGCTTCGTGCATGCTTTGGTTTAAGGCCACTAAGATACATACCATGGCTCTATTGGTAGCATAACGCTATTTCTGAAAAGATCCCGAGACTTTCAATAAACGACGATGCTGATGATCACATTGTACTGATTAAATTACCCATCCTTCAGCTCACTACCTTTCCACGCATGCACTGCTAAAAACGCATCTTCTTGTGACCATGCAATTTAAAACTGTAGCATGCAGTCGCAGGGAGCTGGTATGAGCACAAGTGTCTTGTCTAAAAAAAGCAGAGTTAGCAGTAAAAAGACAATAGAGACAAACACACAAGGCTTATGACGTTCGTATTTATTCGGGGATAATACGGTGGAGGGTCTATCGAGGAGGAGGACGTTTCAACAGTGCTACAATGGAACAAGTGTCAGATTAGTCATTGCACAGAGTTTTGCATTTTACCGCGTAATTTGGCTTTTGAAATCGCACAATGTTGCGGACACAGAAAGATTTCGTTTTCAATACACAGAAGATAGGGTCTGTGCGAGAGATTGTGCCTACAGCTACCGCCAAACCTCACGTGTAAGATTCATCTTCATCCACTGATGGAAACAAGTTCTTGACATGGCAACACTGTCCCATCAACAATGCAAGCGTATCTCATGCGTTCTCAAAAACAATAGCATTGTTGGATGACAGGGGCGTTGCTATGCCTGCTCCATGTGAAGGCGTGACAGTTCTGCGCTGCGTGGCTCAACAGGCCATGACGTGAAGTACGATGGTTACCGTGGGCACATAAAAGCAGAACCAACGTGAACCAACGTATAGGTTGATTTCAGGCCACCAATGATCACGTGACATGACGTCATCTGTTTTTTTCTTTTCTTTTACGTAATCCTATGATTTCACTTTTGCTTTTACCTTGCATGTCAAAGAATGAAGACTGAGGCAGAAGAATTGGGTAAAACTACAGAACCTGTCAACAGCTCACCACTAAATGTGCTCCTCAAAAGGCATTGGCACTAGCCTAGATCTGATTCAGTTGTCCTTTTATTGAAAAAAAAAAGCTGTCACTCTAAATTAAAAAAAAATTGATAACTTTGACTAGTAAAAAAATATAGTGCGAACATATTCAATTGTCGAGATTAGTTGCGATGTGAGCTAGAGCTGTGAGTATACTTGTTTTCTTATATGATGACCAGAGGCCCACGGTTTGAAAAAAAAAAACTGCGGTGAAACAACATGATGCTTTGTACAGCGCAAATTAACTCGGAGATATAAACTCAGGGAAACAAGATTGACTTGAGTTGGGCTAGTGGTTTGTTTCCTGAGCATAGTTTCTTTAACTATGTGCAATCCATTTTATCTGATGGTCGATTGAGGTGCTTGAGAAGTGCGTTCAGCAGCTGAACAAGTGAAGATAACTTTAACCCGTTTTCATATTCGAAGGGAAGACGTCTCAAACGTCTAGTGGGAGACCTGAAATTTATTTTCTGCGGTCCTAGAAACGCGAAAAAAAAAAGGCATCTGGGCATAAGGCTGGGCACGCTCAACAAGAGAAGTCTACACTCGTTTCAATCAAGTATTATCGCAGAATTCTACGCTTGCGATGGTAGATTCCCTATAGAGTTTAAAATTATAAGTATTATCATTTCGATCGCAAATGATTTTTAAGAAAGAAGCATTGAAAGTGAAATTTCGCACTTATAATTCGCGTCTTTGCATAAAAGCGAGAATTCAGATGAAGTATTGAAGCGGTTGGTAGTCTTACTTCCCGCATCAGTACTAGTATCATATCACCCAGGGTTAACTTGTACAGCACTAACTTTGTTGGCACTGGGTTGCCAGACGCGTACACTGCTAATTGCACGGATGAATTTGTTCACGCGTCCTCAAGTGGGCTCACGACGCAGATAACAAGCTTCCACAACGATTCGCTCACAAACGTTTCCAATATCGCATATATCTCTCCTTCTAAACTCGGCAAGTACTGCTATAAGCTACGTTCTAAAGTGACAACGCTCGATAAATCTGTGTATCACATGGTCATCTTGCTCCTAGCGTGCAGTGTTGAACTCCGCGCAAGGATTCTGGGAGTGAAAACATATATATTTTTTCAACAGAAGCACTCACGCGTACACAGCAATAACAGAGGCATGACACATATGCACAAACGCCCCGGAAGAGGTCAAAAATAGAGTCCTTTTTTTTTTCTTTTTCACAAGGGTGCTCCAAAATAGTTTGTACATCAGCACATATATGCGATACGTACATCTACGTCATTGGCCAACTGTGTCTTTTTTTTTTCTCCTCGAAACACAGAAAATTTAATGGTAATCATGTAACATGTACGATAAATTCTGGAAATGCTCCGAAAGAGCTGGGTTTTTATACGCAACGCTATATCTTTGTATATGACACTACAGACAAACGCGTTTACAGCATTCATTTTTTTTTTCCTGTTGGTCGGTTGTTGTGCAATACGGATACAAACACAGCCGTGGTTCTCAAGCTACGAAAGTTTGACTAATAGAAGAGGGGGGGAGTGCAAGTTTGGGAGAGAGGAGGAGAAAGTAATGGCTGAAAGGAGGCGGGTTGGCTACGCTTGGTTTTGGAATGTAAGGAGGTTACTACGTCTGTACTATCTGATGCGGCCGCGTCAATGAACGCTTGGTCGACTTGATTTGGAAAGTTGAACACAGGTGGACTGCATGCGCAGAAGAGTCGGCGCGGTGGCGAAAATGCGTGCGGCGTGAAGGCGATTCACACTACAACATCGGCTGACGCGGCGACGTTCCCGAGTGGATGGCCTCAGGCTTCGTTTTGATGCTTGCACATACATACACACATTGCGCGATTGTTCAAATGCGGACGTCTGATGCGTTCAGGAAGGAAAAAAAAAGAGTGGGGATCGGGACGCGTGAAGTTGGCGGCTGAAACGCGCAGCACTGGCCGGCTTCTCCCGATTCGACGCCATCGTTACATACCTAGCTGTCAGCTGGCCAAGACTCACTCGAAAGACGTGCTTGGCGTGTGTGTCCTGGCTACGAGTTATTCTTGTTCTGCAACATTCCAATACATTTGCCTACCTCTTAACGTGATGGAACTTTTGGGCTTAGACGAAAGCTTTCCGGTAATACAGCGTGCATGCAAGGCGTAATTTAGCACGTGAAGGAATATGGCGCATGGAAAAAGCTGAATCTGTACACCCAACCCATAGTGTAACTCAATATCGTGAAAAAGTGAAAAGAAAAAGAAAAGAAATTGAATAACGCTGGCGCCTGCCCCGACATTGTGGCGTAAGCCCAGTGACTGCGCAGAATGCGAGAGGCAATTGGTTTTGTTTACAATGAGCGCTTTAGTGCGTCCAGCATCGAGTAGGGGCAAAGGTCAGATGCGATAATGTAGGCTCACTGCGGTTTTTTAGGACATCGCCGAATGCGTAATATTGAAGAACTAGACTTTTTAACCAAACGCATCGAAGGAGGTCTATCCGTGGCCATATTCAATCAAGCAATATTTTGCTTGCATGGAATTTAAAGATCAAAGAATGTATGCGTAATTGCAAGCGCTTCACTAAACGTATGCTGGATAATCGCACATTTAAAGTCATCTCCTCTTGGGGCGACTGTTCAGGAAGCCGCAACTATTTCTATAATACCTAGGATTTCAACTAGTGAAAGGACCTCGTTTATACTGGTGCAACAGTTAAGGAGTAGAGAATGTTATAAAGAGCAAATGGATTTAGTAATGACTTTACTGTACTGCCCAGTACACTGAGATGGTAAGCGAGAGATAGAAAAATGCGGTGAATGGTCAGACTGCCGCAGTCATCTCGAAATCTGAAAAAGAAATAGCGACAATACAAAGAAACAAACAGAGACACGTCCATCAAGTCAGCAGCTCATTGCCGTTCGTCATTCAGTCGATTAGGGGAAGCACGTCGCCAGGCTTGCAACGAGTCAGGTGATCGTCTACGACTGGTGCGGAGTCAGTCCACTTTATGCCGGCCCTCGACAAATGCCAGGCTGGTGGCAGACCTCTCAGTGGGAGAGCGCCTTCAAGATGGCATGCACTTCCTCGGCTATGGCCATCAGGACGAATTCGAACTGGACCTGAGGCAAGAGAAAGCGTTGAAAAACAAAAAAATGAGGGTTGTGGTTCGTGGATAATCATGCACACAGCACAAATTCATTTTTACATGTTTTTTTATTACATTCCATGCACATTTACAAAAGATGCTGTTCTCGCCGAGTGTGGCCTCCTACACGTGAATACGGGATTAATTGATACGTGGGGTTTAACGTCCCAAAGCCGCCATATGATCATGAGAGACGCCGTAGTAGAGGGCTCTGGAAATTTGCATGCACCCAAATCGTAGCACACGGGCCTATAGCATGTTCGCCTCCATCGAAACTGCAGCCGCCGCAGCAGGGATTCGATCCCGTGGCCTGCTGGTCAGCGACCGAGTGCCTTAGCCACTCGGCTGCTGATCAGCAGGTAAATGCTGATCGATATTTTCGTCTGTCTATTTGGCGGTCATGTGTTCTTTCTCTAGCCTATTGATTGCCATCTGCTCGTCTGGCTGTTTATAAACTGCTAAGTAGTGCGAAATTGCCTACGCGAACACAAAAGTGAGTTTTCAATTGAGGCTTTAGAGGCCTAATCGGGTGCAAAAAGTGGCCGTCGATTGCGTAGTCGTTGACACGAGTGATGCGAGAAATTGTGTGACGATGTCACCATGTATTTCACCCTGACGTCACAGGTCGCTAAATTTGTAACATCCTGAATTCGTAATGGCGTCACTATGACGTACACAACGTGACTTTACATGATTAAGTTTACATTGTCGCTCGGTTGAATGTGGTCCGGTGTCTGAGACAACCCTGCACCACGCGGGGTGCAGAGGGGATGGGGGGTCACTGCAATTGACTGCGAAGAAAAACAAATGAAGTATGGCTTAGCATTCGATGGTTTTAGGTCTTAGGCCAATGCATTTGGGACCGTGTGACTTTTAGAGCGCATATCTTGGGAGCCTCCGCTCAACGTGGAGACGGTGTCGTCATAACCGGTAGAGCAAACAAGAAGGAAAGGCAGTGAACGCGGAGCTCAGCTATGAATGAAAGGCGGCGATAGCGAGGAGTGCGTGCCGAGGAAGGAACGACAACGGCGAGACGTCGGGTTCCGCTGCGGCCACCCGCGGCGCCACGGTAGAGCGTGACATGTGCGGTCGTCGATGACGTCATTATTAAAGTATACGGCGACGGCGTCTCCCGATAACATATGCGCAAAGAAAGCGCTGCACGAGCGGAGGCCTGTCTGCGGCCGCTGTCGTGGAACGCGGCCACGCGCTGGCTGCTACGGTGTCCGGTTTAGCGAGGAAGTCGTGCTATAGGCACCCGGTGATGCCGTTTACAATATCTGATGGCAGCGCACGAACACACAGCCTAGTGAGCAGGCGCAGCAAAATCAGACTTGCACGTGCATATCAATTTCTTTTCTAGTTGTGAGCAGGGGGGTCATGGCTGATTACGTAAGCGCCCAGGAAGCGTTCTTTGAAAACGCGTTAAAAAGGGCACTGACACTTCAGCGTGCCACAATGTTCAGCGAGCGTTTCATTTTCTTAGTATCCCTGGCGGTCGGTACCAACAATGCTGAGACGGCCCAAAAAGCTTCGTCACGCCCACTTGTCCACTGTCGCCACTGTCGGGTGCCTATACGCTCAGTCTGCGGTGGCTGGTGTGAAATTGTCGGCGCCAGTCCCGCTACTGACTGCGTTCTCCCTAATGTAAACTGTGTACTTATATACAAGATAGTCTCAGCCAGTTGCTTCTCAACAGTGAGTGACGCCTACACAGCTGCACTCAGAATTCACTTGAGGCAGTGTCGTAATCGCCGGTTATCTATATATCGGCAATGTAGAGAAGTTTGATAATCTAAGTGAGATGCCCAAAAGAGAGCTATCGTGTCCGGTGCTTGCATAAACGTTGGAATCCATGATAAGCTTATGAATCGGCCTCGCACATTTCTACATTGTATGGCAATGCTGAGTCAAGCGACTGCGTAGCTGTTTTTCCCGCTCATGTGAATCCATCCTTATATAGTTGGGTTATGCTAGACTTTGCTCGATAAGATTCAGGTATAGAATGCACAGGTTTATGAAGTTTTGCAATGATTCACTCGGTTGAGTCTCTCCGATGAATGATCGGTTCGCCATTTTCACCCTGTAGCTGGGAAGGTCGTGTCGCGAAAAGTATGAGAAATATTGAGAAAGGACTCAAGTAATGAAACATTAGTAAGGCGCATTTCAAAATTTCCAGCTTCTCCACCTTTACGTTTTTTGGGAGAAATACATAATAAAAATAAAATTACAACATTGGTTTCTACACTTTTGATTCTATATATCGACGTTAATCTCTTTCAACGAAGCTATGCACTCTGGGTGTATTAGACAGCCAAGACTAGTGCTGTTGCCTTCTAAATCTATGCGTTTGTGTTAGCGCGTGAAATGCGTACGGTGAATGGGAAGAGTCAACCTACCTTGGTTTTTACCATACCGGCTCGTTGGTCGCGCATGTGCTCCAGAGTGGCTGCGATATCGATTTCCTTTGCTCCTGTTGATGACAAGTGCCACGCCAGAATTCATTGTAAGCAATATCCACGAAAAATCTATCGAGAAAAATTTCTTTACCTTTGGCCATTCTGTTCAGTACCATGTCGATCAGGCAGTAGGTTCCCGTTCTTCCAATGCCGTCACTGAATGTGAAAAAAAAAAAAGTGAAGATAATTAAAATAACCAGGTCCAATGCACTCATTGAAATCAACGAGAAGGGAAACTCTCGTGAAGCGCTTCATTGCACTCTGTGCTACAAAATTCGATGTGTAAAGTTATCCTTATTTTTACTTTACGCAACCTGTAATGCCACAGAGCACGCTACAATATTCACAGGCTTCACTGTAGTGCTAGCACAAAATCAGTGGGACGCACAGCATGAACTGTCGACTCAGTGATGTGAATATTCCTTCTTTGGGTAACACATTATAATTAACGTTCTGTAGATGCGGGAAGTTTACATAACTTCATACCAAGGTTCTGAATACTGAATTCAAAATAAGTGCAAATGTTAAAATACTTTATGATGTGCTTTATAGAGCAATTCACTACCATTACAACTAACTATTTTACAGGCAGGCGTTTTATATTTCTCCACAACGCAGTTTCAATTACCCACTGAATGACGTGCAATACTTATCTGCTGGGGGCAAGGGTTGCTAAGAAACTAACAGAATATGTAAAAATTTTTTTTTGGAACGCCCCCAGTACAACATGTTGTTAACATGGCACCACCATTTCGAAGTGACTGTATGTAACAAATTATTTCCCCCAGAAATGATATAAAATGTGAGGTATCGGAATTGTTTAAATTACTGTAATTTCAATATTTGCAGTAATCTTACTAATCTAGTACGCAGAAATCCACCCCAAAAAAGGTAGAAGGTAGCTACTCTAAACGCGGACGTCGTGTTCCATAAGGATATGCAGAGAGTAGTGTATGATGTTTGTTGAGAAGTGAAGTATACTTCTAAATTTACGCCCCGATTACATGCATTATGAGAGGTCAAAACTTCATTCTTGTAGTCTTATGTGCTATAACGACAACACGATTATTAGGTAGCTCATAGAGTTTACGGTTTACGGGGTTTTTTGCACGAGAGAATGGTATTCCAGCCAGGTGCTCATAGGTGTGAGTACTTAGAAAAGGTAGGACCTCTTTTCCGCTAGCTTCCACCTTTCGATTTCCTTTTCTCACCTTGCTCATCGCCATACCCTTGCACGCTGTACGGGGGTACCCTTGTATGGTGTACAAGGGTACGACGGTGATGCCTAGCCGTACCTTTGTAGGGTAGATAAACAAGCGCCTTCCATAACCTCAAACCACTAAGAGCGTCTTTCAGAGCGTTAAATCACTAACTTCCCTCTTGTGAAAGTGCGACTAGTGAAAATAGTTCTATAAAGCATGTGATTTCTTACCTGCAGTGAACTACAATGGGGCACGAACGTCCACGATATGACTTGTTCACCTTCCTGCATTGAGCAACACCCCAGAGAAATACATGTTGTTACTGTATCAGCACTGTACACTCCTGCACATGGCATTTTTGGTAGTTAAGTGAAGTTTTTAAGGACAATAAACAAGGAGAAAACGCTAAAAGAATGCATCCGAACTTGAGAAAAAGGCCACAATAAAGGCGGTGGGCCTACCGGCACTCTCTACCAAAAATGATGGGACTGGCCAGAAGACACAGTAAGAAGGCAATGATGACATATGATACTTTCAACTCACCGTATTAGTTCTCAGATGAAACAAGATTTTGGAGAACTCTGAGGTATTAAAAGCACTTTTTAGACGTGAAAGCAAATCAGAGTATGTGTTTCAAGTTCACAAATAGCTCGCAAACATTACAAAAACCGTAGATGTTTGTAAATCCATAAATCTAAATTTCAGCCAGTTGAGATAGTCGACATAACAAAGTTAGTGAAGGTGACCACCCAATAACAGGCACCGCTTGCAACCAACAAATTTAGCGTATAGTCATATATCATATTGCATAACACCTTCTCATGTTGCAGTCTTTATTATATTTCATGGTTGAACGGGTATTCACAAAAAAAAAGACACATATTGAAGCTTACGCATACATCTGCTCATAATGACAGCGACTAAAAGTGCGCACGTTCACTGCCAGAATTAACCTTTTCAAACATTCACTTTTTTCCCGCGATCAGCTCAGCACTGAAACTAACTACCCCAAGATATCACAGTCGCCTCCAGGGAAACATTCGCCGTCGCGCTTCAAAGTCATATTTAAATGCGAAGCAGCTTTTTGACTAGCCTGTGTAACGCTGTCCCTCTATCCGCATCATGCTCCCCTGACCGCAGGTGTTGGGGCAATGCCAAGTAGGCCACGCCTTCGCTCCCAGTGCACACGTTGACGCTATTTTCTCCCTAGCCTGTCACCGCTCACCGCATGTAACACCCGCAAAACTATCCCTCCTCTCCTCCTCTCTCACCTCACAAGACCGTCTGCTAGTAAAAAAACTGACTGCTCGCTCTGCAGAACCGTTCACTGGCCAACCTGTATATGTAGGCACTGGATCACGCGTTCGGAATTCAGTATTCAGTCAAGGGCGTCTTTACATGGCTTTCGCTTGATGAGCGCCAGCGTCACCGTCGCCGCCTACACTCAAGTTTTTTTCACTTTTCTTTCCTGTTTCTTCAATCTCTGCTCTCTCTCTCTCTCTATATATATATATATATATATATATATATATATATAACTCATCCCCTGATGAAGGGAGGAGCCCTTCCGAAACTGTTCGGAAATAAATATATTTATCTCCTTGTTGACAACGCTCCCGTTGTGCCATATCCCATACCTTCACGAAGACTAACTGGCGCCCATTGAATTATTACTCCCACTATATATATATATATATATATATATATATATATATATATATATATATATATATATATAAGGAAGTGTGTACTTAAGGGCTCGTTTTATCTTGTTATCACTGTTAATGAGATCTAACAGACAATGTTGCAAGGAAAGTAGAGGAGAAGTTATTAGGCCTCATTGTAATGTAAATGTGAAGAAAGAAAAGTGAATGAAAAAGTATTTTTTTCGTGGGCAGAAACTAAACCTGCGACCTTAGACTAACACGTTCGATGCTCTACCAACTGAGCTACCACGGCGGCTATCCCCCCATCCACTTTATTGGGTATATATGTGAATTAAACGTGCGAGCGTTGGTAAGCGCCACCAGCAGTTATGACGGCCAGTGTGGAACACTCTTTATCAGCCTGTTTGGCGTCACGTAACACGTGAACTTATTGCGAGCTAGCAACTAATCAATAATCGATCGTATACGACATAAATGCACAAAGTATGCCAGAACTATAATCTCGTTAATGAATGAAGGAAGGAAGTATGTACATAAGGGCTCGTTTTTTTTCTTGTAAGAAATATTATTATTCAGATCTAACAGACAATAATGCAGGGAAAGTATAGGGGAAACTATAAGGCCTAATTGTAATGTAAATGTGAAGAAAGAAAAGTGGAATAAGAGGTAACTTGCCGTGGGCAGGAACCTAACCTGTGACCTTCGAAGCACGTGTTAATGGCTTCCCACCAGTCTGCCTTTTTATCTGAGATGTATTTAGTTTTTAGTTTATATTTTTAAATGGTATTATCTCCCCCTTCCTTGATGTCTCACACGGGTGCTGTAAATAAATAAATAAATAAATAAATAAATAGGTAAATAAATAAATAAATTAATAAATAAAACTATGTATGAGGTAAATGTACACTTCACAAGATTATTAGGTATCTACTAACTAGTGGCGAAATTCACACTGATTTTCGTTCCAGCATGCTTTTCGCAAATGGCTGGAATATTTGGCTAATCATGTGACTGGCATCAGGAGTGACCACAATGAGGTTTTATGAAGACATTTGCTGAATACAATTTTTTATTATTGGTGAAGGTTTTTTGTTTTGGTAAAGCTGGTGAAGGCAACAGGTGGGCTTGTTCGAATTAAACGTAGTGTTGTGATTTTGAGCTCGAATTGAAAGAACTTCGTCGCCAGTAGCAGCACATAGTTTGTCACCGAAGCTTCACAATCCTTTTGTACTTAATGATGGTCGAAATACTTGGAGATAAGTTAGAGGGAGTAAACTTTATTTCAATAACTATTGCTGCATTTGTGATATGGCTTCGTATTTTCAACCTGCCTCGAACGGACTTTGAACGCCTGTAGCTAAGCTCAATCTCGAATTGTCGGAACGCAATACGGATAAAAATACGCACATAAAGTTGTTTTCGAAATTCTCTTCATTGCTTTTCGTTCAGCATGGGGAAAGCTTTCTTGTTCTTGTTTGGGTTGCGCACATATATCTCGCGTAAAGTATACTGGCTAACAATGAGGTGCCATTCTCACAACCTTGTGAAGATAAAAGCCCCGATTATACATCCTGTGTGTTCATCGGACAAACGGCCCACGCCTTGTCGCACTTCCCAAGATAAGGAACGTGGAGTATACGAGACGTATCGTTTCATTAAGGAACTCCTACCAACCACTCAAATATATTAGTTACCAAGCAATAGACACAATCACTTTTCAGTACAAGCGATTACGAACGCATGGCGTGACGAAAGAACAAAAAAAAAGTAGTCCATTGCACACAATAAGACGCAGTGTACTAGTTTTGGCATGAGCGATTAAATCATTTCGTCTGCATTTAGTACAGGGAAGTATGTGCATTGTGAACTGGAAAAAAGTTGCATAATTTAATCGCACATGTACGGAAGACCTTGGTGTAATTACTTGCGTTGTCATCATCTTTGTCACGAAGCACCCACAACAAGTCGTACCAATTCACAAGTTGCTGCACAATGACACCTATGTCATCGAAGTGGGTGCTTTTAGCGATTGCTAAAATCACGTCTTTTTTATGCTTTCTTTTTTTTTTCACAGTCATCACTTCCATAAATTCAAAGCACAACGCATTAGAGAGAAAAAAGAAAGAGGGGAATTGGCCAAAGAGAGAGAGAGAGAGGAAAGCAAAGGAAAGGCAGGGATGTTAACCAAGCTGCTACACTGCACGGGTAGTTGATCAAGGAAAAGAATTAATGTTCCAACTCAGCTGGCCAGTACGTTTACATTTCCTGTCTTATGATGTCTAAATATAAAAGTCAAACGATCGTAATTATGGATACAAGTAGGCCCATTCATGTAACATGAAACAACAAACAAACGAAAATATAGCTCGGTGTTTTTACGTTTGCAAACGCATATCAAGGTGGTGCGCACTGAGTCGCACAATGGTATGTGAATGTAAGACACAAGAGACCACAGCTGTGAACTTGCACATTCTACGCGGCTCTCATGCGTATACGTCCGAAACAATTGACATTTTCCTAGACCAAGTGCAAAAAGCGACAGAGGTCACTGGTATCGCACACTGCACAACCAATCAGCGTCACAAACGTACCACTTACACGGCGTTTGTCAAGGAACCATCAAAACAAGTGCAGCCAGAGTCAAGGTTTGAAGAACCACGAGGTAAAAAAAAAGCTGAATCGTTCTGCTGCTTCAACAGGTACTTTGGAGAAAAGCTGCCACAGGTACGTCGGATAAAATCTTGCACACATCACTTTTGTGAGCTTACACATCCAGCGTGTTCTAAAACACGCTATCAACATACACTTTGAAGATCAATCAAATGCAGTCACAAATTGTTGTGAATTCCGCCATTTTCTCAGACATGGTGGTCTGTAAATTTTTAACGCCGCTTTTGCATTATGCAGTTGCATAGCGGTCAACTCCAAGAAACTACTTCGGAAACTAGTTAGAAGGTTAAAGATCAGACGCCAGAATTGGCGAGAAAATGAGTGAGCGAAAGACACGAAAGAATGAGAAACGGAAAGAAGATAGTACATTGCAGAGGTGTGGCACCAGGTTCGAAAACATAGCGTGCAGTAAAGTACAGACAGAGAGAGATGCGTCTTGGCCACGAAGTGCGTGCTGCAGCCAGGCGTCGACGCAGGTGAGGAGAAGATTCAGAAGGAAGAGAAGAAGGCGCAGAGGCGAGGGCGGTGGCTCTCCTCCGCCGCACCCATCACTTTTGTGACTATGCAATTCGCAGGTGCACAATTGCACCAATCACAAAAATGATGAGCACAACGAAGGGTATAGATGACGGACGAGAACCCCCGCAGCGGAAGAAAGATGAACCGAGGCCGGTACACCATCCGTCCAGGCGCAACAGACCCGGTTCCGTAGAGAAAGGTTCAGTCCGAGGGACAGGCATACAAAGAACGCAAAAAGAGCTTCAAGTATGTTGCCCGAAGCGTCAACAACAGTCGCGTCAGGCCGCGAGTACAGGGCGTCGATGCATCACGCTTTAACAGTTTCACAATAAATATTATTAAGGTTTAACGTACCAAACCCATATATGATTATAAAAGACGTCATAGTGTAGGGCTCCGATAATTTCGACGACCTACGGTTCTTTAAC